CTCGAAAAGCGGAAGGAGTCACCTCTGCCACATGTCAACTGGGCGTCGACGGGACAGCAGCAGCTGCAGCAGAAGCATTGGTCTTCTTCGACAACTGGCGGTTCTACGGAGCAGAAGTCGTCGAACAAGGAGCAGCAGAAGAAAGATGGTCGACAGCCGAACAACAAACGGAGCTCGAAGAAACCTTGCTGGGTCTGCGGAGAAGTCGGTCACTTTGCGTTCAAGTGCGAACAACGCGCCGACAAGAAGAACAATGCTTCCGCGCAGAAGGAGAGTTCTTCGAAGACGGGAGCGCAGAGCGAGAACTCCAATTCGACCAACAAAAAAGGGACCTTCTTGTTCAATGGTGGGACCAGTTGTGGACCAGCTGCAGACGACCGATCTGCTCATTTCGCTGAATGCGGAAGATGGTGAGGATTTTCAGGCGATTGCTGCAGCCGTCGAGGCTGATCCTGCAGTTGTTCTTCTCGACAGTGGCTGCTCACATCATCTGATGGGCGACAATGCAGCCTTTGTCGAAATGCATGAAGGCGGCGACATTAAACATGTTCGCGGATTCAACGGGGCATTCCAAGACGTGTGTGGTCGCGGAACAATCGCTCTACGCAGTGAAGCTGGGAAGCAGATTCTGATTCCTGATGTGCTCTACGTGCCTGGAATCCATGCGAATCTGTTGTCTGCTGGGCAGCTGAAGCACTGTGGAGTAAAGCTGAAGGATGAAGGTGAAGAGACCCTCCTTCTCTCTACTGATGGGACAGTCCTTGGACGCGCTCGTTATCGAGGACGAGTGCTCAGCACAGATTTCCAGGTGTGGCCGCTGCAGAAATCGGCAGAGGAGGCGATTGCTCTGCGGACCTTGGCGACGGATACACGGGCAAAGATGGTTGTGTGGCATCCTCGACTTGCTCATGCGGGCGTCGAAACAATCAAGCAGACGGCGACGCATGGTGCAGCGACAGGCTTGGATATTGACAAGTCGGCCAACCCTGATCTACCGTGTGTTTCTTGTGTGGGGGGAAAGCTTATTCGGCATAGTTTTCCTCAAGAGGGGAGCGAAGAGCAGAAGGTGCTGGGAGTAGTGCACATCGATCTCTGCGGGCCCTTCCGAGTTCCTGCGAAAGATGGCAGCCGCTACTTTCTTCTGCTCAAGGATCGAAAATCTCGCTACGTCTGGTTCTACCCGATTGCGCAGAAAAGCGGTGCTCTGCGCGTTTTCCAGAAGTGGCTTCCGCGTGCAGAGAGGCAATGTGAGGCTTCGCTGAAGGCTCTCCGCTCCGATTGAGGTGGCGAATTTTTGGGAAGAAAATTCACCGAGTTCCTCGAAGAGAAAGGTATTGAGCACGACCTCACCTCCCCCTATACGCCGCAGCAGAACGGGATGGCGGAACGTGAAATGCGGACTGTCGTCGAAGCAGTTAGGACGATGCTTCTGCACATGGGAGCTCCCCACCATTGGTGGCACCTAGCAGCTCTGCAAGCTGTTTGGGTGAGGAATCGTCTCGAACATTCCTCTCTGCCATCAGGGGTAACTCCATATGCAGTGCTCTTCGACAAGAAGCCTGACCTTGGGATGGCTAGAGTTTGGAGGTGTATGCTGCAGTACCTCATTCCAGAGAGTCAGCGGGGGGGGAAGCTGGAGCCAAAAGCTCGTTGGGGTCTCCACCTGGGTGTCTCGCAGCAGAGTAAGGGGTGGTTGGTTCTCGACTTCTCGAGCAACCGTTTGATCACCACGGTCGAGGCCATCTTCTACGAGACCATGTCTCTTGCAGAGTGGAAGGCGACGAAGCAGAGTACCACCGTCGACCGTGCTGCGCTCGACAATGTGGCATCCTTCCCGACGGATCCTGCGGATGATGACGACGATGATGACGAAATGACTAAGGCACCAGCCCCTCTGCTCGTGTCCACGCAGATTCCTCGTCCGCAGCTGCCCACTGACAACCCTCCAGTGCAACTCTCGCCGTTGCCAGAGACTCCTCCTGCAGAAGAAACTTCTCCTGCCGATGACGCTCCTTCCGAGGAGCCGGTTCCTTCTGCAGAAGACATTCGCTCTGACTCTTCTTCGACATGGGAGCAACTGTCGACTGCCTCTTCTTCAACGTTCTTTCCTTCGACTGAGAAGTTGGTGCCATTTTCGACACTCCTTGGCGAAGAGGGGAGCAAATTGCCGATGAATGTCGTCGCCAATGAGCGTCGAGAAGTCGAACAGCCTACAGACGAAAAACCCGCAGAAGAGCGATCCGCAGAAGAGCAATCGGCAGAAGATCGATATGCAGACGAGCTGCCTGCAGAAGAAACTGTTGAAGAAGAGATGCCTGAGCTAGAAGAAATTGCCGCAGAAGAGCAACCTGTAGAAGAAGGACCGGCAGACGAAACTTTTCAGGTCTCTCGCTACGGTCAAAAGATTCAGAAGCCGATCCGATTCCGCGAAGCACTGACGATGTTTACGATGACTTCGCTCGACGACATGCATGAGGATGTAGTGCAAAAAGAGCTCGACTGTGCTGACGAGTGCGTCGTCGACACGGATCATCGTTGGGACATTTCGACCATGACAGTCGCAGAAGCTTTGCAGAGTTGGAAAGGTGAAGCGGTCAAAGCTGCAATGGATGCAGAGATGCAGACCCTCTACGACCAAGAGACTTGGGAGCTGGTTCCTCGACCGCCTGGGGTTAATGTCATGAAGAATCGATGGGTTTTGACGACGAAGTACAACCCAGACGATACGGTCGACCGAGAGAAGGGTCGACTTGTCGTCAAAGGATACACGCAGACCCCTGACGAATTCGACGCTATATCTGCCCCCGTCGGAAGCTACGGAACTGCTCGGATGCATCTGTCGAACGCAGCTGACGGAAATCTGGAGTTGATGCAACTCGACATGACAAATGCATTTCTGAATGCGAAACTTGATCGTCTTCTCTTCATGGAGCAGCCCGAGTTCTACAACGACGGGACGGGTCGAGTCTGCATGCTGAAGAAAAGCTTGTATGGACTGAAGCAGAGTCCGATGTTGTGGTACAAGGCCCTCGACGAAGTGCTGGAAGATGCAGGATGGTCGAAGAGTCAGGTCGACGAAGCTTTCTACTTCCACGAGGACGAGAACCACGACATGTGATGGGTGCTCGTCTACGTCGACGATCTGCTCGCCGCGAGCCGCAGCAAGGAACATCTGTCAGAACTGAAGGCGCTGCTCGAAAACGCCTTCAAATTGCGGGAGATCAGCCCTGTCAACAAGTACCTGGGACTTGAGCTGATCAGAGACAGGGAAGCGGGGAAGATCTGGCTGCATCAGAGAGGCTACGTCGACAGGGTACAGAGGCGTTTTCTGCCTGAAGGACCTCCTCAGCGAGTCCTGAAGACGCCAATTTCGGTCGACGCCTTCAAGGTGCTGACATTTGATGACGAGAAGTTGCAGGCGCGCACAGAAGAAGAGTATAGGCAGAGGGTCGGCTCTCTGCAGTTTGCTGCCTGCACTACTCGCCCCGACATCTCCTTCGCCTGCAGCAAACTTGCGTATTTCATGGGCAAGTCAGAGGATCAGGTGCATCACTCACTCTTCTACAGATTCGGAGTACATCGCTGCAGTGGAGGCTGGAAAGGAGGCTCGAAAGCTTCGTTTTCTGATGGCCGAATTTCGCATACTCGACGAGACGTCACCAACGATTATACACGTCGACAATCAATCTGCGATTTTTGTGTCAGAAGGAATGGGGCTGAAGGGAAAGCTGAAACACATGGAGCGGCGCTACATGTGGTTGCAGAGCATGGTGAAACGTCGCAAGCTGAAGCTGCAGTACATCTCGACGACCGAGCAGCCGGCGAATTACCTGACGAAAGCACTTCATTTCCCTGCGTTCGACAAGTGCTTTGCAAAAGTTGGTCAAGTAAGGCTTTCGACGAAGGGGAGCTGCGCAGAGAGTCCTCTCGACGAGGAATAGGTGCCATGACCTTTTCATGGCTGGTGCGGTGATGGTGTGTGCGAATTGCAGACTTCTGCAATTCTTGTGTGTTTCTTTTCTGCATGTTTTTTTCTTTCTTTCTTTCTGTTCTACTCTTGTGTGTGGTGCAGATGGGTAAATTTCCTCTGCGACGACCAGCATGATCAGTGCAGGGGAGTGTTGAGATTGCACTGACCCTGCAGAGGGTCGTCGTGTTCTGCAGGGACGCGAAATTCCCCGAAGCGGAAATTTGCAGAGGACAGGGTGGAGCTCTGCACTGCAGCAGAAGTACTTCGCAGAAGCGGAAATCTGCAGAGGATCGTGGTGCTGCAGAGAAGGGCGAATCTGCAGAGCAGATCGTGGTGCTGCAGAGGAGGGCGCATCTGCAGAGATTTCGGAGCTGCAGAAAAAGGCGCGTCTGCAGAAACGAAATTCTGCAGAGGACCACAATCTCGACCAGCGAACCCTTCCGACGCGAAAACGCGATCGTTTCGGAACTTTTGCGTGGGAATTTCGGAACATTGCGGACATTGAGAAATTGATCCCCGGAAACAGTGCGTGAACTTGGGGTTTCAATCTGGGGGCGAATTGAACCACCTGAGCAAACTGAACCTGGCGCACGTTTTCGTAATACGAAAACGTGCGTTACAGAAGTTGTTTAAAACAACCTGAACAGTTAAAATAACTACTTTTAGGTAGGTAAAAATTACCAACTAAGCATGTGTTGTAATTTTCACCTGCCGACGCTGACTTGGCAAAGCGCAGCTAAGTGGTAGTTATCTAAACGTTCTAGGTGAAAACGTTCTCTTGGTAGGTTCAGTGGTTGGGTAGTTCTTTACCCCTTGTATTCTATCTTTCATTCTATTCTAGTGAATTTTCTGTGTGTGCCAAATCCATGCCTTCAAGGACTTAGACAAATTTCTGTCTCCTTAGTGAACCACCAATATCGTGTCTACGCAGAAAGCATTCCGTAGAGCTCGTTCATCCGTTAGAGCAGAAATCTCTGCAGGTGGCGCACCAGTGCTGCCGCTGCCATCGGAGGGAGCGCCATTCTGTGCAATGGGGAGGGCGAGAAGGCCGTTGAAAGCGGCGGGAGGAGTCCCGCACGGGGAAGGGAGGAGATGCGTGATGGTGAGGAGCGGTGTCGCAGGGGTGGTTGGGCGGGTGGCTCTGATGGGCGTGGTGGCGGTGATGGCGATGGTGGGGAGCGACGAGGGCCTCACGAAGGGCGGTTGGGCGCAGCGCTGCTTCTGGCACAGCAGCCGTGGCTTCCTCCCCATGGCGCACGCTGCTACCCTTGCCCCCAGCCAGTGTGAGCGTGGAGTTGTGGGAGTGTGGGAGAGTGCGTGCACGCACACATGCATGGGATGGGAGTGTGTTAGTGTGTGTGTGTGTGTGTTAGTGTGTGTGTGTGTGCGTGTGTGTGTGTGTTAGTGTGTGTGTGTGTGTGCGTGTATGTGTGTGTGTGTGTGTGTGTGTGTGTGTGTGTGTGTGTGTGTGTGTGTGTGTGTGTGTGTGTGTGTATGTGTGTGTGTATGTGTGTGTGTGTGTATGTGTGTGTGTGTGTGTGTGTGTGTGTGTGTGTGTGTGTGTGTGTGTGTGTGTGTGTATGTGTATGTGTATGTGTGTGTATGTGTGTGTGTGTGTGTGTGTATGTGTGTGTGTGTGTGTGTGTGTGTGTGCTGCGGTGCACCACCAGCGCTTGTCATCGCATGCACATGCCGGTCACATCACCATCATTAGATGGCCTGGCCCCATCGCAACCTCTTTCCCGTCCCATGGAGTTGCAGCACAAGCATCCGTCGTCCCTGCCATCTCACTGCCCCTCACTTTGTTGGCCCTCATTCTGCGCTGACCCCCATTGCTGTGCTGACCCCCATTGCTGCGCTGACCCCCATTGCTGCCCTTACCCCGGGCTGTTGCTGTGCTGCGCCTCACCTGGTGCTGCATCTCCCTGTGCACTCCATTGCTGCGTTGCACAGGGCCGGCAGTGCGAGACATGAAGGCGCAGTGGAGCAGTGTGGTGCCTAGCATCACCAACACCTGGGTGAAGAACGCTGACTACGGGCAGTATATAAGTATCTACTGCAATGCTGGTGGCTTCGTGACAAGGATGTGAGTGCGTGGGATTCGTGACTCATAAAGATGATCGCTGCGTCTGGCGCTCGCGGCATTAGGTGTCTGGGGGCTTACACGAGGGTTGAAATGCATCTGCTGCGCATCTGCATAACCCGTGTCTTGACCCCGTGGTCTTTTAGCGTGGCGTTCTATTGGGTGCTCTTGACAGGTGCTCTTGGCATGAGGCGCTCATTCCAGGTTGTGTAAACTGGATCGGTGCACAGTCATGAGTTGGCTGGCCGTTGATATGCCAGCCAGTTTCAGTGGTTTAGCACCTTCTACTCGACAGCCTCACACTCTGACCTTCCCCTACTTGTGGATGCATGCACTCCATGGATCAGAGACTTATCAGAGCAGTATTTAACCGGCTCCCTACCAGAAACCATTGGCGTCCTCGACAGCCTTCAATACATGTACGTACTCTTTCAGTCTTCCTCAGTCTCATCTCCCGCCCCTCTCTCTGACGTGGGCACGAGGAGATGGTTAGAGTGGAATCTGGTCGAGCCGGTCTCGAATCGGCAAACCGTAGAGTCAAGGTCGATTCTAAGTCGAGTCGAGTAAAAGAAAAACAGTCTCCTAATCAGACTATTCTCGAGTCAGAGGTGACCGACTCGAGTTTAGTTCTTGCCTTGCGAGTCCCTTTTGACTTGATCTGCTTTCTATCCTTCTTGTATCTTAACAACAAGCAGTGGCCTATGTAGGGGGATGAGAGTGGGAAAAAGATGTTGGTGTGAAATGGGCTGAGGTGTGTTTACTAGTGTGGTGGTGTTACACACATAGGTCAGTGATACCAACGACTGGACTGATGGCACAAAGAGGGAGATAGTATGAATAAGTGTGGTGGACTGAATAAATATGTCATCTCTGTGCGGGATGACAGCGAGTCGAGCCTGGCCCAGCTTGAGTGAAGCCTGAGTCGACTCAACTCGTGCTCATGTCTCAGGGTGCTAGCATCGAGGGCGTACAGTGTCTAGGGTTGTTATGGTGAAAGTGCGTATTAGCATTCATGCTAGGAGGTGGTGATGGTACGAATAAAGAAGAGGTGTGTGGCCACATAGCTAGCTACCATCCTCGATGGGTAGTAGTAAGAGGAGCGTTTCCCCTACCTGCTGCCAAATGTTATGCGTTTGAATGGTAGCGTACAAAACGCCAAACGTGGTTTGGGTCACGTAAAGGTGAAGGGGGGGTGGGGAGGGCACGGGTGTTGCTAAAGAAGGGAACATTTGTTTCCGTCTAACAAGGGAAAAACTCGCCCAGGGCATAAGTCAAGAAAGCAAGAACTGATCACCCACAAAGGCAAGTAACGTGTCGGCACCCATTGAAAGACATACCGGCAAGCCAAATGAGCAGTTTCTTAACGTATTTTGCAGTCGTTCTTTACGATCAAGCAGTTGTTACGGCAGAAAAGAAAACGAGTTATTCTTTGTACCTTTCTGCAAAGTTACATTGGCAAAGAGCATTGGGTGGAGCTGAGCTGAAAATTTCACACAGAACTGGCACATGGTTTTCTGCCTACTTGATTGAGCTGTCGGTCATGATGACAGTCAATCCTACATGGATTGAAAGTGAAATGGATCAACCAGAAATTGGAATTGACTTAGCGATTCGAGTCAAGACACTTAATTTCCCATGTCTTCTTTGCCTTGGTGCAGCTTGAATTATCATATGATCGACCCATCACCCCACTATCTCTTTCATCCCCCTCCATTGTTCGCACACATACAACTTATCACCCTTTCCGTGCCTTGCCTCCCTTTCACAATCTCTTCATCTCCACCGTTACTCTAACCTCCCTCCCCATGCCTCCTCCGTTCCCACTCAGATACATAAGCCAAAACTTTCTATCGGGCTCACTGCCATCTACCTTCTCCAAACTCGTCTCTTTAAAAGTGTTGTGAGTGAGATGCCCCTTCCGTCAGCCAACTGCTAGTATGGTCGTGTTGTTGCAACACACACACACACATACATACATGCACGCAACACACACATACATACATACATACTGAGCCGAAAAACCTGTGGCAGGTGAGGGATCATCATGAGCCTAAGCTGGTGGATATAACGTTAATGGCCTTGCCACGTTCTCATGGAGCATTGCTGCAAATCTTCTTGCATCCTTTGCTTGCACCCCCTGGCATGCCTTTGCATCCCCTTGCATGCCTTTGCATCCCCTTGCATGCCTTATCCCCTTGCATCACCTCGCATGCCTTGCCCCACCACACCACACAGCAATGGCGATGAGAATGAGCTCAAAGGGCCCCTGCCTCAAGGCATCGGCGCCCTCACTGCCCTGGAGCAACTGTAAGCACTCTCGCACGCCCACTGCCTCCTGCTCCCTCTCCCTATCCCGTTAAGCTCGTACTATTGTTTCGTTTTCTCGCCGGCCTCTTGCTCCCTATCCATATGTTTTTGGTGCACTCTTCAATGCAGCTGTACTCCCATACACTCTAATTGATGATGCTCAAAAGCATACTCACGTCACATGCAACAGCAGAAATCCTTAAGGCATTCAAGTGCAGTATGCCACAGCATGAGGCTCCCTCCCCCTCCACCCACATTGTCCACAGTCCACTTGGAACAACCCTCCTACATCCTGATACTTCTCCTTGCCACTCACGTTGTTTTTTTTTAACAGGCATGTGCAGCACAACCAGCTGGAAGGGTCAATCCCTTCATCCTTCACGCAATTGACTGCGCTATCCTCACTGTAGGCCGGCCAGCGCCGTCGTTTCCTGCTTGCACCAGCCTAGCAAGCAAGGCCACTCAGACTCCATCCATCCGTGCAGGAATTTATGTCTTAAAGCAGTTGGCATCAACCAGCCGTAGGGTTGAGTTGATGCGTACAAGTGCAACCACTTGCATGGCTTGTTCGTAGGCGGTCAACCCTGGCCCTGCGTGCTGTGCTGCTCATAACTTGGCCCGGGGCCAGCCTTATTACTACGTTTTGAAGGGCCCATGAGGAACCGATTCCTTGACCCATCCCGACTGTTGACCCATCTCGGCCCTGTGACAGGTGCGTCTGGCCTGCGCCAGGCACTGCTTGGTAATGACAAGCACCAGGCCGGCCAAATCCGCCAGCACTTTCTTTTTTCGCCCTTTTATGTACTTAGTGAACAACACTCTGTTTTTTTTACTGCGAAAAGCTCGGGTGTAAGTTGTAACGATTAGAAAAAGCACAGCAGATACTATTGCTGAGCAGGTAATTGAGCCGGTTCAGCCTGTGGCGAACCGGTTCATCATGTTATTATGCCACCACTATTCATAAGCTGGGCTGGCTCGTTCCAATATTTCTTGGACATGCCAATTCGCGATGGGCTCATTGCTCATGTATGTCGAGGCGTTGCTCATGTCTATCAATGCATTGCTCTCATGGCCTTCATCACGACACTCATGCAACGCTGGTCTGAAACAATTTGCTTCCATTCTGAAACCTTCATCATCCCTCCGTCAGCCACGTTTACGACAACCAGATTTCGGGATCTTTACCAGGAGCGCTAGGGAGTGTCTCCCAACTTACAGAATTGTGAGTTCCTCTTCTCATACCCTCACTCACCCTCTGTGCCTCCTCCTCCTCTTGAATTCCCCCACCCCCTCCACACACGAGTCATGACCCTCTCTGTGGCCTTGGTTGTTGTGATTGCCTTCTTGCCCCAGTCGTCGCTTGGGAGACATGTGGCTGTCGGCCACCCCTTTTGTTGCTTCTGCTTCACACGCCATCCATATCCATCCTTCTGTACATTCATTCAAACTGTTAGCAATGCATCACTATTCTTTAATCGACAGGGATGAGCAAAGACACGAACACCTGTTCAGTTCCCCTCGAACATGTTCAAGGCGAACCGAACAGGTTTTGATTTTTAGCTTAAATTGTTCGCCCAAACGTGTTCGAGGTTCGCCCGAACACTTTCGTTTTCGTGGCGCTGCTGCAAAACGCCCCGTGTCGAACACGAACATGTTCGCGGTTCGCCCGAACACGCCTTCACAGGCGAACGCCGAGCACCCTTTTTTGGCAAAGCCGTTTGCCGAGCGGCCTTGTTCGTGCAAGAGCAAACGCGAACATGTTCGCGTTCGCCCTTTGCTCAACCGTATACTCGACTTATGTTCTTCGTTTCACACCCAGATTTGCTCCATGCCCTGTTGTTCTCATCACCCCAGGCGTGCGAGCGACAACCTCATATCGGGCCCCTTGCCCTCAAGTATAACAGAAATGACTCGTCTCGGTTACCTGTGAGGCTCTCGCATTGCATGCCCCCGTGTCACTAAGTTAGACATGGCATGAGTGCATGTGTAGGACCAGGTTAGGGGTTGGCCAAGACCTAACAGAGGGTCTTGTGTCACAGACAGGGCCAGGTGGGCGCCATGGCAGTTCAGATGAGTTGCACACATCACTTTCAGGTCAGTCTTGTTTGTTTGTTTGTCTGATTTGTTTTTTGTTCCTTTTCAGTATCTTAGGCTCCTTCAGTTCTGTACTATTTCTCTTCACGCCCTGGCTGTGTCCCCGATTAGAATAGAACCGCCAACTAGTTTCGTATAAAACCCGTATGTTGTGCATTTGGTGGAAGGCTGTTATATGCAGCTGGGCCCGAAGTTTTGTTTCGTTACACATACGCACGCTTAACCCGATGCCATACGTGCAAATGAGCGCCAATGAACGTCTGGGCAGGGTAGGATGATAGTAACGAAGGAAAATACCGCAGAGTTTGTGAAACCACTACTATTCCCTAGTGCCTTTTTGCATCGTATGGGAGAAGTATAAACTCCGCACGTTGGTGGTATTGGGGAGGTGTTAACTTGTGCTTTGGTAGAAAATTCATTCGGGTCAGGAATACACACGGTAGGCAGGCAAATTTTGGCTCAACCGAGGTGAACCGATTCGTCTCAGTCGGAAGCAGGGCCAGTCTGATTAACTAGCCTGCCGTGGGCCCTGCACGGCCTGGGCTCTTTCATTCACGAATGCCCGTTGTGAAGTGTGGGCGTGAGAGTGGGGATTGTTCTGGAGCAAGAGGCAGATCAAAGAGAGGGAAAGAGCTGCATCACTCCGTCCCACTGCTGCACGTGAACCCTCACACTAGCGTGCACCCTCACTACAGTTCTTCCTCCCCTTTTGATCCTTCCATCCCTCCATCTCCCTCCCCCCCCGCCGCCCTTCTTCTTCCCCCCTGTCTTTTTGCACCTGTCCTCTCCCCCTGCCCCCGCACCCCTTGCCTTGCACGGCAGTGAGCTGGGGAACAACAATCTGAGTGGGCCGCTCCCTTCCGACCTGGGTACTATGACCTCACTACAAAGCCTGTGAGACGTGGAGCATGGGGATGGACAGTGGACTCATGGATGCACAGTGCAGATACTGCATGTGCATGGGGTATGGGTTTGGGTTATGGGTTGGGGGTTATGGAGAGGGGTGTGGCATCACACATGGGATTGGAATTTGGACGTGGTGCATGGGACAGGTGCATGTGACGTGGTGAATGGGGATGGGGCATGTGGCGTTGTGCATAGGGGCGTGGTAGAAGCTTCCCTCCTTCTAAAGGCGCTTTCTTCTCATGGCGTTCTGTAGCGCACACGTTGATCGGAGAAAGAAGGTATATCAAAGGAGCATGGTTGAATGTCTCCTCTACCTTGCCGCGTCGTGAACCACCCATCCCATGTGTGTGCCGCTCATCATTCAAACTTCCTTTAAACCCACTCAGCCCTCCTGCTCATTCAGAATTGCCTGTTGAGGTCAGAGTCCCAAACAGTTCAAACAAATGGACCGTGATCGAGCTGTGTGTTCCGTGGAATGGATGTATTCCGTGGACCCATGCACCTCTCCTCGTGGAATGGATCTGTTCCGTGTTCAACTTGACTAGTTTGCCACTTCCCTTTAAGCCCGTGCAATCTGTCTGGCTGTGTGTTGAAATCCCTCCATCACTAGGTTCGCTTCTTCTCATATCTGTTTGCCTCTACGGTGACCTTCCAACTATGTCCTGCCATTGCCATATCAGGATGCACAATTCTTATACACATCTTTTGCTTACTCACATTTGCTCCCTTAATAGTATATTTGCCCCTATGTTCTCACCCCTCTCTTCCCTCCTCTCACCACACATTCCTCACCAGCATTTTGTCGCGCAACGCAATCAGTGCCCCCCTGCCAACGCAGTGGACGACAACTAAACTCTATAAGATGTTTGTCTTCCATTATCTTTTGCTTTCTTCCTTTTTGGGTATGCGTGTGTGCTTTCATGTGAAGCCTCTAGTGGGCTATGTCCGTTATGTCAGTGCACATGCCACACACAACACCACTACCCTGGGCATGCCGCAAGCCTGCTGCACGAGCCAGCTGCTCACCTCGACTGGTGGAAAGCACCTTATTCTCATTTGAACCGAGTCGTCAAGGCAACCGAGTTGTTGTTGTTGTTGTTGTTGCTGTTGCTGTTGTTGTTGTTGTTGTTGTTGTTGTTGTTGTTGTTGTTGTTGTTGTTGTTGTTGTTGTTGTTGTTGTTGTTGTTGTTGTTGTTGTTGTTGTTGTTGTTGACCAAGCGTGCCTTTTCACGGGCGACCGTGTCGTCTTCGTGATACTTGGTCATCAGCACCCAGCGGTTCTTCACGATGTTGACGCCGCGAGGACACTCGACCAGCTCCTACGTGGCATTGGCGATAAGGCTTCGGATCTCCTTGTCCATGGCGGCCTTCACCGCCTTGCCCTTCCAGCTCGCGAGCGCCTCTTTCACCGTCATCATTGCGATGTCCCGGCGGTGGTCCGGATTGGCGTGCACGTTAGGTCGAGCTATCGCAGGTCGACGTCGGCCTGCGCTTCGTCATGCAGCGTGGTGAAGGCGGCCGGCGGCAGGCAGGAGTGGTAGCTCAGCTCGTCTGGGGCCTTGGGCGGGTGAGCAGAACGTCGCAGTTCAGGCTTCTCAACTAGGACCTCCACCACATCGATGTTGGTAGACTCCCTTGCCGACAACTCCCCTCCGTCATCGGCGATCAGGCCACTGACGACCTCTACATTGTCCAGCTGGAGGAGCAGCTGACACACTTCAGGATGGGCGAGCAGGAGTCGACCGACTACTGCAACCGGCCTGGGCGGATCTTGGCCGACCTGCGGATGGCTGGCGTCAACTACTCGACAGCGTCGTACATCACGCACATCGTGTCATAAGGGAATCCCGGGCCGCTACAACCTCATGAGGCGGATGATGATGATGCCTGTCATGCGGGAGTCGCTTAACGAGGACACCTTGACATCGCACATCATCAAGGACGAGGCGATGCAGAGACCGGGAGGTCCACGAAGCTCCTGCCGCAAGCGAACTAAGTCGCCTCGATGAAGCAAGGAAGTCGGCCGGGCCAGCGAGGAAAGCCTGGCGGCGGTTGATGAAGGACGCCAACAAGGCGAAGTCGACTCGGGATGGCGGGCGCACGTGCAGGGAGGGAGGGAGGGTGGGGCGGGGATGGGGTGCGACGTTAGGGGCGATAAAGGGGGGTTGCTAGAGGGGGGACCGTAGTGGGGCCGTGAGGGCACGAAGGCATTTGCGGAGGTAGGCGGTGTGGAGGTAAGAAACCTAACCTAAAGTAATGCGGTACCATGTAAAAATTGAATGAATGATTTATGAGGGCATACAAAGGTGGTACGGTATATCTAACATCCAAAACCTCTATAGCACAACTCAACCTAGCCTACAAAGTACACAATATACAAATGTGTATGCTGACACAAACGACCATAATTTGATGGCAAAAATTCAGATACGTATGATGTATTAAGATCAAATTGAATCAGTCCAAGTAATGTGAGCCCAGTCTCCTGATTCACTCTCCCCCCCCTTCCCCCGCCCCATGAGCCATCAACGTGACAACGAAGTTACCTGTCCTGTTACAATTACTGGGTGTGGAGAAAAAAACCATGAAGAGCATACGCACACCCGGCCAGGATGATCTGCAATTGCAGAATGCTACGACTTAGCCTGATCTGGCCAGCACGGCAAATATAAAGGCAGGCTGCAGGAGGTCAGTTGTCGCAGACTCCTTTCTGAAGCTTGACTTTGTCAGGCAGGCACACGCGAGTTGATTTGACGAGCTTGTCGATGCAGTCGTATCCGTTGACTTTTCTGTAGCAGCCCTTGATGCCCCGGAAGTACTTCACCTGAATGGCCGTGCACCTGTCGCCTGTCCCCACCACATACGCATTCGCACGTGGGCACGTGCCCTGAGTGTACGACGTGGAGCTCGCAATGCATGCCTGGTGGGGTGGAAGGGGAGGGGACGGGTGGAGAAAAGAGAAGAGAACAGGAGACAGCAAGCATGGGAGAACCAGCGGGTTAGCAGACATGAGAGTACCAACAAGTGAGCAGTCTTGGGAGAACCAGCCAGGCAGTAAGAATGAGGGAGATTACAAGATAGTAAAGTGAAAGGGAGGAAGGAAGGTTCCACAAGGAAGGGCTGAGCAGCATGAGCAGAGCCGCTGCCACACACACACCTCAAAGCCAGTGAAGCTGCCAATGTCGGTGTTTGGAATGAGGCGGTTGCACTTGATGCCGGGGTTAAGGCGGAAAAAGTCAACGGGTTTCGGTGGGGGGTAGGGCACGTTGCGGATGGACTCGCACGTCTCTGCGCTCTGCACCAGGTAGTACTGCGAGCACACCGGGATGAGCAACATGTTGTACAGGCGCTCCACACACACTGTCTGCTCCGGCTGCAGCAGCCCGCCGTTGGCAGTGCAGTCCAAGCTGGGGTTGAGCGCCTGGAAGGCTGGCGTACAGGCGTCAGATGGGCAGGACCAGTGCACTTCGAAGTACACTGCTAGGTCTGCACAGGTGTCGCCCTGAAAATTGACAGTCAGGGAGGCAGGGAGCGAGAGAGTGAGGGTTCCACTCAGTGAGAACAGAAGCGAGATAAAAGAGATGTTTAACATGAGGTCAGGAAATGGCAGTTAGAGTGAGATGGAGGAGAGTAGGAGGGGGGGCGGCGACACAAGGACATGGATGCAGGGGCAGATAAAGGAAGACGAGAAGCTGGCTTATTAAAAGGAAGGGTGGAAGGTGGGATGGGGACCTGCTGAGTGGTGTAGAAGACGGAGCAGGGGATGAGAGAGGCTGGGCTGGCCACTTTGAGAACGGTGGAGGGTGGGATGGGTCCTGCACACGACACCGATGGCTGCATGCACCGAGGGAGAGGCATGAGAGACACGGCACACACCCACGCAAGCATGGGGTGCCAGGAGCTTGCATATGAGTTGCAGATGCAGGCACTGATGGTAACGCAAAAACTTTCGGGCTTCTCAAGAGAGCAGGAAACGCACGTCCTGAGTTTGGAACTGGGCGAGCGTGAGGCCATGGACAGGAGCTTGAGTGTGAGTTGCAAGGCAAAAGACAGGGACGACAACTGCTTGTGTGAACTTTGAGAATTCTCAAGTGTGCAGGAGACGCACGTTCTGGGCTTGGAATTCGGCGAGCGTGAGGCCGTAGACCGGGAAGACATCGGAGCAGCGGACGTTGGGAGAGAGCACGGTGTAGGTGTTGCTGTTCCCACCTGCATGGAGCACAGCATGCAGCATAGAATAACAAAACAGCAGTGAGTAAGCAGAAGGAACAGAGGAAAACATGCTTCCATGCATGGTCGCTGGTAACTAACTTGGGTTCTTACGTTTATGTGTATGTTATTTTACGAAACGCACTTCCGGAATTTAGCCCGTAAGTATAGTCAGTATGCAGGTTTAATCTCTAACCTTTATATTTTGTGAATGTGTGCTACATACAATGTTATTATTTTATGATGCAACACAAGTGCATACCTGTTATGCTGTAATGCATCTGTTGTGGGGCCCAGAAAATTTCATGTGCCACAAAACCGCGTGAGATCCTACCCTGTTCTCGCCTTTTAATCGGCAAAGCAGCCTACAACTTTGGTTGTTCACGCATTTGGTGAACCCAAATGCCCAATCAAACCCTAAGCGCTAAACCCTTGGCTTGGTGTAGGCTGCTTTGCCGATTAAAATGCGTTAAATGCGGGAAATGCGTGAAACTCTGATTGGGCCTGACTTTGGTGTCCTGATGCAGTCAGGCCCACTTCCACTGTAGCTGTGTTAGATTGGATTGGACGCACCTGGAGTGGTTCGTCCACCGCCCGGACATCACCGTCCAGATGCTGGATGCACACAATGGCACAGTTGCAAGACATTTGGCAAATGCACACACACGTAAAAGTACACGAACCCTACGTGTACGAACACAGGTAGAGTATAATACGTAGACACATGCTTGTCAGACATAAGAACCTAACTTAGTCTGTGACGTCATCTTTGAACACCCTCATGGCACACCACAGCACACAGAAGGTATGTGGTGCACAGGAGGTACCTGGAGCATAGGAGAAGCCAACTAGAGCACAGGAGAAGGTACCTGGAGCACAGGAGAAGGTGCCATCAACGGTGGTGCCCTGCCTGAAGCCCGGGGGACACACACACGAGTACGACCCTGCCCCGTCATTCACACACTGCCCCACCGCACACGGATTGCGCTGGGCTGCCTTGCATGCATCCTCTGAAGAGGGGCGCCAACGAGAGATGGGAGCGGAGGGGAGGGGAGGGTAGGGGAGGGGAGGAAGGAGAGGGTTGGGGAGGAGAGGGGAGGAGCGGATTGAGGAAGGGAGGGACGAGAAGGGAAGGAGGGGAGGGGAGGGAGGAGACGGGTGGGATGGGGAGGGAAGGGGATGGGAGGAGAGCGAAAGGGAGGGCAGGCAAGAAATGAGAGGACACCATGCGAGGAGTGAGAGGAGGCAAGCAGTGAGAGGAGGCAAGCAGTGAGAGGAGGCAAGCACTAAGGGGAGCTGCTGAGAGGGTTTCAACTTGTGAAAACGTCAGCAAATAGCAGCAGCAGCTCCACCACCAGCAGCAGCACCACCATCAGCAGCAGCAGCAGAGGCTTACTGTAGGCGCATGTGCGAGAGCCATCGGCGTTGGTTGCTTGGATGAAGCGCGGGTCGTTGCAGTCACACTCGTTTGTCTTGCCCTTCCCAATGCAGGTGAACTTGCCGCAGGGGTTGAAGAGGGAACCAGAGCTATCACCGCGACCGGCTTTGTTGCAAGGGTCAACGGAAGCTGCAGGTAGAGTGAGGAGGGCAGGGAGGGCAATGAAGCAAGGCAGGTGTGTTTGCATGAGCAAGCAGTGCAGACATGGCGTGAAGAGGAAATCAAAGGTAGAGAGAGGGCAGGAAATGAGTGCACAGAAGCAAGACAGGTGGGTTGTGGATGAGCAGAAATGGGGTCCAAATCCTGGCGTTATGAGTTGAGTCAGGATAAAGGATTTTCATGTTCTCAATCATACTTGACCTATGATGGATTGGTCGTGCAACAGGGCTAATGCGTCATGACGCTGGTCCATTAATTTCAGGCAGTCGGAATTCGGACACTTTGGGAGGGAGGCTAGCATACTATGTATGAGCGGAGGTATGAAACCCATGCATGCATGTCCCGAAGTAATGAGTTATTATTTATTTATTTTTTTCGGGAAAAAAAAAATCATATTCCAAAGACTCAGGTGGTTGGGTGGCGCCTCTATCATACCTCACCTTTCATCTAAACTCTCCTTTGAGCATGTAATCACTCATACTTGAGAGCACTCGCTCACTTCCAACCATGTTCTCACCTCTGACCACAGGGTAGAGGCCTGGCAGCGAGTTGATGCCGCACACGTCATCCCCCCCCTGGATGTCCATGCGCATGTGGCCCCCATCGCCCCAGTCAGGCCCCCATGAGTTGCGGATGATCCAAAAGGGCGGCGCCATGTGGGGGAAGCGCGAGTCCTTGCCCACCAGGCGGTACCCCACCAGCAGCACCACGTGGTTCAGCTTGTATATGAAGCACGCTGGGTCCTGGTACTTGGACAGCTGGGGAACGGCATGAATTGGCAATGTAATGAGTAATTAGCCGCCACGTGCTTGTGTTACGGGGTCATGTGCATGGAAAGATAGGTTGAATTCGCACTTCATTCACACACGCTTCCTTAAGGATTCAAACTAGCCCTCCTATTCGTTCACACGCACACTCCTCGCCTCACCCCATCGTAGCTCTTGAACGTGTCGGCGGAAGCCTCAATGTGCACCACCACTGGCTGCCGCTGCACGGCCAGCAGCAGCCCAAACCAGCCATAGAAGGACGTCGACTCAAAGCCCCTGATGGGGAAGCCACCTGGGAGCTGCTGGGAGATGTATGTGAAGGACGGGGTGTGTGTGGACGGGTAAGGACGCATGGGTTGTGGAGGGAATCGATGCATGGGGAATAGACGAAGTCATTAGGCAGGACTAGAGCACACAGAGATGTAGATTGGAACAGCATGCAGGCATCCAAGCACTCGGTGTTGAAGGGACGTGAGCAGCACAGCAATCCACTAGCTCACTCACACGTACACTGTCACTGCCCTTGCCACACGACACACCGAACAGCTTCGCCAGTGGCTTCAGCAACGGCGAGCAGAGAGGACTGCTGCTGCCTGCCTTCACGACGGCCTTCTTGCCTTTCTCGGCTGGTCCCTGGCTCTCCAACACGAGCCCGCCTCCTTTTTGCGCCAGCTTGAGCAGCAGCTGGAAGGCCTGAGAGGGCGTGCTGCCAGAGCAGCCGACCTTCATGGCGGCCTTCAGCTGCTCCACTGACAGCACCGGCGCCGCTGAGGTGTTGGAGAGAATGCCGAGTGCCGCCTCAATGCTGCCCACCACTGCGTACGCCCAGCAGTCGCCTGCCAGGAAATGCATGGGATGCATAGGTTGCGCAGGTAGGTCGCATAGACGAAACAAATGGTTTGAAATGCTATTATCACAACGTACCATGGTAGCTCAGCTCCCACTAGCCCCACGCTCCCACTGCTAAGGTATTGCCTGCGCGGAGGGTGTGGTTCCGCCTAACTTGCCGGGTTTGTGTGGTCTTACAGAAATAGTCGAGACGCACAAGTCTCACAGATGCTACCATTTATCACATTCGCACTCACTATCTGCTCCTCTGGGAGTATCACCCTATGAGCAAGTCTCACCCCTCTTTACTTTGCGGGACTGCCCTAACATCAGAGTTGAGCATTGAACCCACCTGACCAGTCTGGGTCGACCCGAGGCGGGTACCTGTCGGATCGGTCGTCCCGACCCCAGGTCAAGACCTCGCGCTTACGCAGCCGGGTCAGCTGTGTCGCGCTATTAACACCTAACCGGTGGCTAAAGTGTAAAATTGCATAGCAGCTAAGCTAAGGTGAGGGTACCATATTTTGCTTTTGTACCATACCTCTTCATTTGTGTGCTTGGAATGTTATTGTACTTGCTCTTTCCCGAGTCGAGTTGGTGGGGAAGAGTCGAGGAGGCTGGTGGGGAGCATGGATCAATTAAATCCGAAGGCGGCCCACCTGGAAGGCGATGTATGCCTAGTGGGCCTTGTGGGACCCTGCTAGCACCTAGGGGACATTGCGAGCACCTCGTTTGAGTCGCGCCTTGGCACCAGAGCTAGAGGGTGACATCAGTGCTGACGGGAATATGGCCCCGCCCTCGCTTGGGCGAAGCAGACTTGGCATTCAGGTGCGCGGGAAGTGCAGCCGACTGCTCCCAGTGGTCGACTTCCACGGGACCACTGCAAAGCCATCGGCGAGGGAAAGTTGGCGGCCAACTTTGACTTGGGCGCGGTCGACGAAGGAGTTCGTCGACCCGCGGACACCGACTTGGGGGCGCCGGAACATTACCTGGTTGACAGTGTTACCTGGACGACGAAGTCCTGCAAGGGTGCACGAACGTCGCCCAGGTGGTTTTGCAAAGTGGACCTGTGGGCTGGTAGAGATCGGCGTGGCTTACCAAGCCCAACCATCAGCACGTGGCCGACTTGGCACCTGCGCAATGTCCGGGGCAGTGCACGACATGCTTAACCGCGTACACGCACCTGCGAAGTAGGTGCGCACATGTGCACTATAGTCATCTACGGTTACAACGTTGGCAAACCGCCTTGCTGCAGCGTTGGCAAGCCACCTTGCTGCAGCGTTGGCAAGCCGCCTTGCTGCAGTGTTGGCAAGCCACCTTGCTGCAGCGTTGGCAAGCCGCCTTGGTGCAGCGCTGGCAGGTCGCCGACTTGCGAGGCTGGCAATCCACCTCTCTGCTGTGCTGACACGGTGCCGACTTGCAATGTTGGCAGACCGCCCTCGTGCTGCACTGGAGGTCAACCTGCACGTGTGCTAGGTTGCTAGGCCACTAATGTCGTCATTTTTTCTATCACTTCTGCATTATTGTGTGTACCCAACTTTTGCTAGTGAAAAACTTGCCAATATGCTCCGTGAATGCGCGTGTAGTGAGTACACGAGCAAACGATACGATTACTAGTACCACCCGTGCTTCCCCCCGTAGTCTAGCTCCCGGTGTTGAGTGACTCTCCAAAGGCAGGACTAGGCAGGACGGGAGGATGTACGCGGGCCATTGAACTCGAGCTCCTTGTTTTTTGCTTGAATGTTTCCTACGAAGAAAATAAGCAGCTTGGAGAAGCAAAAGCAAATAGGCGTAGCCCTTGTTAGGGACATAGTCGCATGTTTAATAGGGAGGCATAGCACACCAAATATGAGAGGCAAGAAGAGTGAAAGAAGGATATGGGCGGATGGGGGAGAAGCGTCAGGTCCAACAGAGAGAAGGCCTACAGGGAGGTACTTCACGACAGCTGTATGAACCGAGGGCAGGTTGAACATGCAACATGGAGAAGCGTTGTTTCTCTCCCGCTGCTGCGAAGTGGTGCGCGCCTTGCTAGTGGATCTCTGAAAAATCAGGGTTGACCCTCCAAAAAACGAATACGCCAACTTCACCTAGTGACCCCTCGTTCCGGACATACCCAACCCCACGATCAGCGCAGACTCGATTTCGGGATGGTTCGATGGCGCGATTTTACATCTTTGTGTTCAATCTGAAATCAAACCGAACTCAGACCAGCCCGCTCGAGCCGACTAAATTTGATATTGAGCCTCAATAGGCCCAGGTGCAGCCAGCCATACTCGGCCTACGCCTTTGACCACCGACCGAACGGCGGCCAGACCAGCTTGGCCCGGGTTTGACCTGAGCTCGTGACCCGAGTAGCCGAATAATGGGGGTCCAGGAGTACTCACCGCAAGTTGTCTGTGTCTTGACAGACCATGTGAAGTCAGGCCTGACCCATGAAGCTGCAGGGCGCACGCCATACACATCATTGCCGTTCACAGCAGCAACACTGCCCGAGCTGGCATAGCGGAAGAAGAGATTCACTCCCGAGAGAGACAGCGCTGCTTCACTGAAAATAAACCCCAGCGCTGCATCTGCGATCCAGGACAGGGTACATGGTAGACAGGAGGAGGATTGTGGAGCGAACAACAAGTAAGGATCCGAAACTGGTTCATTGCGTCTACATTGCTTGCTTTTGAAAGGGAAAAAACAGCAACCATATCATGCCGTACCTGGAATTGGCTGGACAGGAAAGTCTGCAACAGAAGAATGGGGCAATCCAACAAGGAGGGGAGTGAAGGCTGTAGTAATGGCTCACGGCGGACGCACAGTGCTCAGATGCTACGGGATGCTACACGGCGGACGCACAGTGCTCAGATGTCTATGGCTCACCTGCCACAGGCACGCAGCTGCCAGGGAACTCCCCAATCACGAAGTTATCGTCACAGAGGCATGTGGGCGTGTTGCTGGGGCCGTCCAAGAAGCACACGCCATGGCCGTTGCAGGCGGGTGAAGTGGGAGAGACGCCGCAGAAGGCAGCGCACACGGGGTCAGCCTTTTGACTCTCGTCTGCACCACACGCAAGGCCATCTGCTGGTGTGTCCGCACACTTGCTGCGGTATGTGATGTAGCCTTGCCCACACGGTGGGGGGGAGGAGAACCCCTGACTCAAGTAGTTGTTGTCCAGCTTGTACGTCGTAATTGATGGGGGCACGGGCTCGAGGACCTTCCCTGTGAGCAGATTGTTTCTCAGGTTGCTGCGGGTAGAGATGGTAGGGTGGGGAATGTAAGGATAGGGGATGAGTGGACGGGAAATGGACGGAGAGGTAAAGGAAGTATGCGGAATGGAAGCATGGAATTATGGAAGCATGGAATTATGGAAGCATGGAATTATGGAAGCATGGAATTATGGAAGCATGGAATTATGGAAGCATGGAATTATGGAAGCATGGAATTATGGAAGCATGGAATTATGGAAGCATGGAATTATGGAAGCATGGAATTATGGAAGCATGGAATTATGGAAGCATGGAATTATGGAAGCATGGAATTATGGAAGCATGGAATTATGGAAGCATGGAATTATGGAAGCATGGAATTATGGAATTATGGAAGCATGGAATTATGGAAGCATGGAATTATGGAAGCATGGAATTATGGAAGCATGGAATTATGGAAGCATGGAATTATGGAAGCATGGAATTATGGAAGCATGGAATTATGGAAGCATGGAATTATGGAAGCATGGAATTATGGAAGCATGGAATTATGGAAGCATGGAATTATGGAAGCATGGAATTATGGAAGCATGGAATTATGGAAGCATGGAATTATGGAAGCATGGAATTATGGAAGCATGGAATTATGGAAGCATGGAATTATGGAAGCATGGAATTATGGAAGCATGGAATTATGGAAGCATGGAATTATGGAAGCATGGAATTATGGAAGCATGGAATTATGGAAGCATGGAATTATGGAAGCATGGAATTATGGAAGCATGGAATTATGGAAGCATGGAATTATGGAAGCATGGAATTATGGAAGCATGGAATTATGGAAGCATGGAATTATGGAAGCATGGAATTATGGAAGCATGGAATTATGGAAGCATGGAATTATGGAAGCATGGAATTATGGAAGCATGGAATTATGGAAGCATGGAATTATGGAAGCATGGAATTATGGAAGCATGGAATTATGGAAGCATGGAATTATGGAAGCATGGAATTATGGAAGCATCCCGACTGTTGACCCATCTCGGCCCTGTGACAGGTGCGTCTGGCCTGCGCCAGGCACTGCTTGGTAATGACAAGCACCAGGCCGGCCAAATCCGCCAGCACTTTATTTTTTCGCCCTTTTATGTACTTAGTGAACAACACTCTGTTTTTTTTACTGCGAAAAGCTCGGGTGTAAGTTGTAACGATTAGAAAAAGCACAGCAGATACTATTGCTGAGCAGGTAATTGAGCCGGTTCAGCCTGTGGCGAACCGGTTCATCATGTTATTATGCCACCACTATTCATAAGCTGGGCTGGCTCGTTCCAATATTTCTTGGACATGCCAATTCGCGATGGGCTCATTGCTCATGTATGTCGAGGCGTTGCTCATGTCTATCAATGCATTGCTCTCATGGCCTTCATCACGACACTCATGCAACGCTGGTCTGAAACAATTTGCTTCCATTCTGAAACCTTCATCATCCCTCCGTCAGCCACGTTTACGACAACCAGATTTCGGGATCTTTACCAGGAGCGCTAGGGAGTGTCTCCCAACTTACAGAATTGTGAGTTCCTCTTCTCATACCCTCACTCACCCTCTGTGCCTCCTCCTCCTCTTGAATTCCCCCACCCCCTCCACACACGAGTCATGACCCTCTCTGTGGCCTTGGTTGTTGTGATTGCCTTCTTGCCCCAGTCGTCGCTTGGGAGACATGTGGCTGTCGGCCACCCCTTTTGTTGCTTCTGCTTCACACGCCATCCATATCCATCCTTCTGTACATTCATTCAAACTGTTAGCAATGCATCACTATTCTTTAATCGACAGGGATGAGCAAAGACACGAACACCTGTTCAGTTCCCCTCGAACATGTTCAAGGCGAACCGAACAGGTTTTGATTTTTAGCTTAAATTGTTCGCCCAAACGTGTTCGAGGTTCGCCCGAACACTTTCGTTTTCGTGGCGCTGCTGCAAAACGCCCCGTGTCGAACACGAACATGTTCGCGGTTCGCCCGAACACGCCTTCACAGGCGAACGCCGAGCACCCTTTTTTGGCAAAGCCGTTTGCCGAGCGGCCTTGTTCGTGCAAGAGCAAACGCGAACATGTTCGCGTTCGCCCTTTGCTCAACCGTATACTCGACTTATGTTCTTCGTTTCACACCCAGATTTGCTCCATGCCCTGTTGTTCTCATCACCCCAGGCGTGCGAGCGACAACCTCATATCGGGCCCCTTGCCCTCAAGTATAACAGAAATGACTCGTCTCGGTTACCTGTGAGGCTCTCGCATTGCATGCCCCCGTGTCACTAAGTTAGACATGGCATGAGTGCATGTGTAGGACCAGGTTAGGGGTTGGCCAAGACCTAACAGAGGGTCTTGTGTCACAGACAGGGCCAGGTGGGCGCCATGGCAGTTCAGATGAGTCGCACACATCACTTTCAGGTCAGTCTTGTTTGTTTGTTTGTCTGATTTGTTTTTTGTTCCTTTTCAGTATCTTAGGCTCCTTCAGTTCTGTACTATTTCTCTTCACGCCCTGGCTGTGTCCCCGATTAGAATAGAACCGCCAACTAGTTTCGTATAAAACCCGTATGTTGTGCATTTGGTGGAAGGCTGTTATATGCAGCTGGGCCCGAAGTTTTGTTTCGTTACACATACGCACGCTTAACCCGATGCCATACGTGCAAATGAGCGCCAATGAACGTCTGGGCAGGGTAGGATGATAGTAACGAAGGAAAATACCGCAGAGTTTGTGAAACCACTACTATTCCCTAGTGCCTTTTTGCATCGTATGGGAGAAGTATAAACTCCGCACGTTGGTGGTATTGGGGAGGTGTTAACTTGTGCTTTGGTAGAAAATTCATTCGGGTCAGGAATACACACGGTAGGCAGGCAAATTTTGGCTCAACCGAGGTGAACCGATTCGTCTCAGTCGGAAGCAGGGCCAGTCTGATTAACTAGCCTGCCGTGGGCCCTGCACGGCCTGGGCTCTTTCATTCACGAATGCCCGTTGTGAAGTGTGGGCGTGAGAGTGGGGATTGTTCTGGAGCAAGAGGCAGATCAAAGAGAGGGAAAGAGCTGCATCACTCCGTCCCACTGCTGCACGTGAACCCTCACACTAGCGTGCACCCTCACTACAGTTCTTCCTCCCCTTTTGATCCTTCCATCCCTCCATCTCCCTCCCCCCCCGCCGCCCTTCTTCTTCCCCCCTGTCTTTCTGCACCTGTCCTCTCCCCCTGCCCCCGCACCCCTTGCCTTGCACGGCAGTGAGCTGGGGAACAACAATCTGAGTGGGCCGCTCCCTTCCGACCTGGGTACTATGACCTCACTACAAAGCCTGTGAGACGTGGAGCATGGGGATGGACAGTGGACTCATGGATGCACAGTGCAGATACTGCATGTGCATGGGGTATGGGTTTGGGTTATGGGTTGGGGGTTATGGAGAGGGGTGTGGCATCACACATGGGATTGGAATTTGGACGTGGTGCATGGGACAGGTGCATGTGACGTGGTGAATGGGGATGGGGCATGTGGCGTTGTGCATAGGGGCGTGGTAGAAGCTTCCCTCCTTCTAAAGGCGCTTTCTTCTCATGGCGTTCTGTAGCGCACACGTTGATCGGAGAAAGAAGGTATATCAAAGGAGCATGGTTGAATGTCTCCTCTACCTTGCCGCGTCGTGAACCACCCATCCCATGTGTGTGCCGCTCATCATTCAAACTTCCTTTAAACCCACTCAGCCCTCCTGCTCATTCAGAATTGCCTGTTGAGGTCAGAGTCCCAAACAGTTCAAACAAATGGACCGTGATCGAGCTGTGTGTTCCGTGGAATGGATGTATTCCGTGGACCCACGCACCTCTCCTCGTGGAATGGATCTGTTCCGTGTTCAACTTGACTAGTTTGCCACTTCCCTTTAAGCCCGTGCAATCTGTCTGGCTGTGTGTTGAAATCCCTCCATCACTAGGTTCGCTTCTTCTCATATCTGTTTGCCTCTACGGTGACCTTCCAACTATGTCCTGCCATTGCCATATCAGGATGCACAATTCTTATACACATCTTTTGCTTACTCACATTTGCTCCCTTAATAGTATATTTGCCCCTATGTTCTCACCCCTCTCTTCCCTCCTCTCACCACACATTCCTCACCAGCATTTTGTCGCGCAACGCAATCAGTGCCCCCCTGCCAACGCAGTGGACGACAACTAAACTCTATAAGATGTTTGTCTTCCATTATCTTTTGCTTTCTTCCTTTTTGGGTATGCGTGTGTGCTTTCATGTGAAGCCTCTAGTGGGCTATGTCCGTTATGTCAGTGCACATGCCACACACAACACCACTACCCTGGGCATGCCGCAAGCCTGCTGCACGAGCCAGCTGCTCACCTCGACTGGTGGAAAGCACCTTATTCTCATTTGAACCGAGTCGTCAAGGCAACCGAGTTGTTGTTGTTGTTGTTGTTGCTGTTGCTGTTGTTGTTGTTGTTGTTGTTGTTGTTGTTGTTGTTGTTGTTGTTGTTGTTGTTGTTGTTGTTGTTGTTGTTGTTGTTGTTGTTGTTGTTGTTGTTGTTGTTGTTGTTGTTGTTGTTGTTGTTGACCAAGCGTGCCTTTTCACGGGCGACCATGTCGTCTTCGTGATACTTGGTCATCAGCACCCAGCGGTTCTTCACGATGTTGACGCCGCGAGGACACTTGACCAGCTCCTACGTGGCATTGGCGATAAGGCTTCGGATCTCCTTGTCCATGGCGGCCTTCACCGCCTTGCCCTTCCAGCTCGCGAGCGCCTCTTTCACCGTCATCATTGCGATGTCCCGGCGGTGGTCCGGATTGGCGTGCACGTTGGGTCGAGCTATCGCAGGTCGACGTCGGCCTGCGCTTCGTCATGCAGCGTGGTGAAGGCGGCCGGCGGCAGGCAGGAGTGGTAGCTCAGCTCGTCTGGGGCCTTGGGCGGGTGAGCAGAACGTCGCAGTTCAGGCTTCTCAACTAGGACCTCCACCACATCGATGTTGGTAGACTCCCTTGCCGACAACTCCCCTCCGTCATCGGCGATCAGGCCACTGACGACCTCTACATCGTCCAGCTGGAGGAGCAGCTGACACACTTCAGGATGGGCGAGCAGGAGTCGACCGACTACTGCAACCGGCCTGGGCGGATCTTGGCCGACCTGCGGATGGCTGGCGTCAACTACTCGACAGCGTCGTACATCACGCACATCGTGTCATAAGGGAATCCCGGGCCGCTACAACCTCATGAGGCGGATGATGATGATGCCTGTCATGCGGGAGTCGCTTAACGAGGACACCTTGACATCGCACATCATCAAGGACGAGGCGATGCAGAGACCGGGAGGTCCACGAAGCTCCTGCCGCAAGCGAACTAAGTCGCCTCGATGAAGCAAGGAAGTCGGCCGGGCCAGCGAGGAAAGCCTGGCGGCGGTTGATGAAGGACGCCAACAAGGCGAAGTCGACTCGGGATGGCGGGCGCACGTGCAGGGAGGGAGGGAGGGTGGGGCGGGGATGGGGTGCGACGTTAGGGGCGATAAAGGGGGGTTGCTAGAGGGGGGACCGTAGTGGGGCCGTGAGGGCACGAAGGCATTTGCGGAGGTAGGCGGTGTGGAGGTAAGAAACCTAACCTAAAGTAATGCGGTACCATGTAAAAATTGAATGAATGATTTATGAGGGCATACAAAGGTGGTACGGTATATCTAACATCCAAAACCTCTATAGCACAACTCAACCTAGCCTACAAAGTACACAATATACAAATGTGTATGCTGACACAAACGACCATAATTTGATGGCAAAAATTCAGATACGTATGATGTATTAAGATCAAATTGAATCAGTCCAAGTAATGTGAGCCCAGTCTCCTGATTCACTCTCCCCCCCCTTCCCCCGCCCCATGAGCCATCAACGTGACAACGAAGTTACCTGTCCTGTTACAATTACTGGGTGTGGAGAAAAAAACCATGAAGAGCATACGCACACCCGGCCAGGATGATCTGCAATTGCAGAATGCTACGACTTAGCCTGATCTGGCCAGCACGGCAAATATAAAGGCAGGCTGCAGGAGGTCAGTTGTCGCAGACTCCTTTCTGAAGCTTGACTTTGTCAGGCAGGCATACGCGGGTTGATTTGACGAGCTTGTCGATGCAGTCGTATCCGTTGACTTTTCTGTAGCAGCCCTTGATGCCCCGGAAGTACTTCACCTGAATGGCCGTGCACCTGTCGCCTGTCCCCACCACATACGCATTCGCACGTGGGCACGTGCCCTGAGTGTACGACGTGGAGCTCGCAATGCATGCTTGGTGGGGTGGAAGGGGAGGGGACGGGTGGAGAAAAGAGAAGAGAACAGGAGACAGCAAGCATGGGAGAACCAGCGGGTTAGCAGACATGAGAGTACCAACAAGTGAGCAGTCTTGGGAGAACCAGCCAGGCAGTAAGAATGAGGGAGATTACAAGATAGTAAAGTGAAAGGGAGGAAGGAAGGTTCCACAAGGAAGGGCTGAGCAGCATGAGCAGAGCCGCTGCCACACACACACCTCAAAGCCAGTGAAGCTGCCAATGTCGGTGTTTGGAATGAGGCGGTTGCACTTGATGCCGGGGTTAAGGCGGAAAAAGTCAACGGGTTTCGGTGGGGGGTAGGGCACGTTGCGGATGGACTCGCACGTCTCTGCGCTCTGCACCAGGTAGTACTGCGAGCACACCGGGATGAGCAACATGTTGTACAGGCGCTCCACACACACTGTCTGCTCCAGCTGCAGCAGCCCGCCGTTGGCAGTGCAGTCCAAGCTGGGGTTGAGCGCCTGGAAGGCTGGCGTACAGGCGTCAGATGGGCAGGACCAGTGCACTTCGAAGTACACTGCTAGGTCTGCACAGGTGTCGCCCTGAAAATTGACAGTCAGGGAGGCAGGGAGCGAGAGAGTGAGGGTTCCACTCAGTGAGAACAGAAGCGAGATAAAAGAGATGTTTAACATGAGGTCAGGAAATGGCAGTTAGAGTGAGATGGAGGAGAGTAGGAGGGGGGGCGGCGACACAAGGACATGGATGCAGGGGCAGATAAAGGAAGACGAGAAGCTGGCTTATTAAAAGGAAGGGTGGAAGGTGGGGTGGGGACCTGCTGAGTGGTGTAGAAGACGGAGCAGGGGATGAGAGAGGCTGGGCTGGCCACTTTGAGAACGGTGGAGGGTGGGATGGGTCCTGCACACGACACCGATGGCTGCATGCACCGAGGGAGAGGCATGAGAGACACGGCACACACCCACGCAAGCATGGGGTGCCAGGAGCTTGCATATGAGTTGCAGATGCAGGCACTGATGGTAACGCAAAAACTTTCGGGCTTCTCAAGAGAGCAGGAAACGCACGTCCTGAGTTTGGAACTGGGCGAGCGTGAGGCCATGGACAGGAGCTTGAGTGTGAGTTGCAAGGCAAAAGACAGGGACGACAACTGCTTGTGTGAACTTTGAGAATTCTCAAGTGTGCAGGAGACGCACGTTCTGGGCTTGGAATTCGGCGAGCGTGAGGCCGTAGACCGGGAAGACATCGGAGCAGCGGACGTTGGGAGAGAGCACGGTGTAGGTGTTGCTGTTCCCACCTGCATGGAGCACAGCATGCAGCATAGAATAACAAAACAGCAGTGAGTAAGCAGAAGGAACAGAGAAAAACATGCTTCCATGCATGGTCGCTGGTAACTAACTTGGGTTCTTACGTTTATGTGTATGTTATTTTACGAAACGCACTTCCGGAATTTAGCCCGTAAGTATAGTCAGTATGCAGGTTTAATCTCTAACCTTTATATTTTGTGAATGTGTGCTACATACAATGTTATTATTTTATGATGCAACACAAGTGCATACCTGTTATGCTGTAATGCATCTGTTGTGGGGCCCAGAAAATTTCATGTGCCACAAAACCGCGTGAGATCCTACCCTGTTCTCGCCTTTTAATCGGCAAAGCAGCCTACAACTTTGGTTGTTCACGCATTTGGTGAACCCAAATGCCCAATCAAACCCTAAGCGCTAAACCCTTGGCTTGGTGTAGGCTGCTTTGCCGATTAAAATGCGTTAAATGCGGGAAATGCGTGAAACTCTGATTGGGCCTGACTTTGGTGTCCTGATGCAGTCAGGCCCACTTCCACTGTAGCTGTGTTAGATTGGATTGGACGCACCTGGAGTGGTTCGTCCACCGCCCGGACATCACCGTCCAGATGCTGGATGCACACAATGGCACAGTTGCAAGACATTTGGCAAATGCACACACACGTAAAAGTACACGAACCCTACGTGTACGAACACAGGTAGAGTATAATACGTAGACACATGCTTGTCAGACATAAGAACCTAACTTAGTCTGTGACGTCATCTTTGAACACCCTCATGGCACACCACAGCACACAGAAGGTATGTGGTGCACAGGAGGTACCTGGAGCATAGGAGAAGCCAACTAGAGCACAGGAGAAGGTACCTGGAGCACAGGAGAAGGTGCCATCAACGGTGGTGCCCTGCCTGAAGCCCGGGGGACACACACACGAGTACGACCCTGCCCCGTCATTCACACACTGCCCCACCGCACACGGATTGCGCTGGGCTGCCTTGCATGCATCCTCTGAAGAGGGGCGCCAACGAGAGATGGGAGCGGAGGGGAGGGGAGGGTAGGGGAGGGGAGGAAGGAGAGGGTTGGGGAGGAGAGGGGAGGAGCGGATTGAGGAAGGGAGGGACGAGAAGGGAAGGAGGGGAGGGGAGGGAGGAGACGGGTGGGATGGGGAGGGAAGGGGATGGGAGGAGAGCGAAAGGGAGGGCAGGCAAGAAATGAGAGGACACCATGCGAGGAGTGAGAGGAGGCAAGCAGTGAGAGGAGGCAAGCAGTGAGAGGAGGCAAGCACTAAGGGGAGCTGCTGAGAGGGTTTCAACTTGTGAAAACGTCAGCAAATAGAATCAGCAGCAGCTCCACCACCAGCAGCAGCACCACCATCAGCAGCAACAGCAGAGGCTTACTGTAGGCGCATGTGCGAGAGCCATCGGCGTTGGTTGCTTGGATGAAGCGCGGGTCGTTGCAGTCACACTCGTTTGTCTTGCCCTTCCCAATGCAGGTGAACTTGCCGCAGGGGTTGAAGAGGGAACCAGAGCTATCACCGCGACCGGCTTTGTTGCAAGGGTCAACGGAAGCTGCAGGTAGAGTGAGGAGGGCAGGGAGGGCAATGAAGCAAGGCAGGTGTGTTTGCATGAGCAAGCAGTGCAGACATGGCGTGAAGAGGAAATCAAAGGTAGAGAGAGGGCAGGAAATGAGTGCACAGAAGCAAGACAGGTGGGTTGTGGATGAGCAGAAATGGGGTCCAAATCCTGGCGTTATGAGTTGAGTCAGGATAAAGGATTTTCATGTTCTCAATCATACTTGACCTATGATGGATTGGTCGTGCAACAGGGCTAATGCGTCATGACGCTGGTCCATTAATTTCAGGCAGTCGGAATTCGGACACTTTGGGAGGGAGGCTAGCATACTATGTATGAGCGGAGGTATGAAACCCATGCATGCATGTCCCGAAGTAATGAGTTATTATTTATTTATTTTTTTCGGGAAAAAAAAAATCATATTCCAAAGACTCAGGTGGTTGGGTGGCGCCTCTATCATACCTCACCTTTCATCTAACCTCTCCTTTGAGCATGTAATCACTCATACTTGAGAGCACTCGCTCACTTCCAACCATGTTCTCACCTCTGACCACAGGGTAGAGGCCTGGCAGCGAGTTGATGCCGCACACGCCATCCCCCCCCTGGATGTCCATGCGCATGTGGCCCCCATCGCCCCAGTCAGGCCCCCATGAGTTGCGGATGATCCAAAAGGGCGGCGCCATGTGGGGGAAGCGCGAGTCCTTGCCCACCAGGCGGTACCCCACCAGCAGCACCACGTGGTTCAGCTTGTATATGAAGCACGCTGGGTCCTGGTACTTGGACAGCTGGGGAACGGCATGAATTGGCAATGTAATGAGTAATTAGCCACCACGTGCTTGTGTTACGGGGTCATGTGCATGGAAAGATAGGTTGAATTCGCACTTCATTCACACACGCTTCCTTAAGGATTCAAACTAGCCCTCCTATTCGTTCACACGCACACTCCTCGCCTCACCCCATCGTAGCTCTTGAACGTGTCGGCGGAAGCCTCAATGTGCACCACCACTGGCTGCCGCTGCACGGCCAGCAGCAGCCCAAACCAGCCATAGAAGGACGTCGACTCAAAGCCCCTGATGGGGAAGCCACCTGGGAGCTGCTGGGAGATGTATGTGAAGGACGGGGTGTGTGTGGACGGGTAAGGACGCATGGGTTGTGGAGGGAATCGGCGCATGGGGAATAGACGAAGTCATTAGGCAGGACTAGAGCACACAGAGATGTAGATTGGAACAGCATGCAGGCATCCAAGCACTCGGTGTTGAAGGGACGTGAGCAGCACAGCAATCCACTAGCTCACTCACACGTACACTGTCACTGCCCTTGCCACACGACACACCGAACAGCTTCGCCAGTGGCTTCAGCAACGGCGAGCAGAGAGGACTGCTGCTGCCTGCCTTCACGACGGCCTTCTTGCCTTTCTCGGCTGGTCCCTGGCTCTCCAACACGAGCCCGCCTCCTTTTTGCGCCAGCTTGAGCAGCAGCTGGAAGGCCTGAGAGGGCGTGCTGCCAGAGCAGCCGACCTTCATGGCGGCCTTCAGCTGCTCCACTGACAGCACCGGCGCCGCTGAGGTGTTGGAGAGAATGCCGAGTGCCGCCTCAATGCTGCCCACCACTGCGTACGCCCAGCAGTCGCCTGCCAGGAAATGCATGGGATGCATAGGTTGCGCAGGTAGGTCGCATAGACGAAACAAATGGTTTGAAATGCTATTATCACAACGTACCATGGTAGCTCAGCTCCCACTAGCCCCACGCTCCCACTGCTAAGGTATTGCCTGCGCGGAGGGTGTGGTTCCGCCTAACTTGCCGGGTTTGTGTGGTCTTACAGAAATAGTCGAGACGCACAAGTCTCACAGATGCTACCATTTATCACATTCGCACTCACTATCTGCTCCTCTGGGAGTATCACCCTATGAGCAAGTCTCACCCCTCTTTACTTTGCGGGACTGCCCTAACATCAGAGTTGAGCATTGAACCCACCTGACCAGTCTGGGTCGACCCGAGGCGGGTACCTGTCGGATCGGTCGTCCCGACCCCAGGTCAAGACCTCGCGCTTACGCAGCCGGGTCAGCTGTGTCGCGCTATTAACACCTAACCGGTGGCTAAAGTGTAAAATTGCATAGCAGCTAAGCTAAGGTGAGGGTACCATATTTTGCTTTTGTACCATACCTCTTCATTTGTGTGCTTGGAATGTTATTGTACTTGCTCTTTCCCGAGTCGAGTTGGTGGGGAAGAGTCGAGGAGGCTGGTGGGGAGCATGGATCAATTAAATCCGAAGGCGGCCCACCTGGAAGGCGATGTATGCCTAGTGGGCCTTGTGGGACCCTGCTAGCACCTAGGGGACATTGCGAGCACCTCGTTTGAGTCGCGCCTTGGCACCAGAGCTAGAGGGTGACATCAGTGCTGACGGGAATATGGCCCCGCCCTCGCTTGGGCGAAGCAGACTTGGCATTCAGGTGCGCGGGAAGTGCAGCCGACTGCTCCCAGTGGTCGACTTCCACGGGACCACTGCAAAGCCATCGGCGAGGGAAAGTTGGCGGCCAACTTTGACTTGGGCGCGGTCGACGAAGGAGTTCGTCGACCCGCGGACACCGACTTGGGGGCGCCGGAACATTACCTGGTTGACAGTGTTACCTGGACGACGAAGTCCTGCAAGGGTGCACGAACGTCGCCCAGGTGGTTTTGCAAAGTGGACCTGTGGGCTGGTAGAGATCGGCGTGGCTTAC